CGGTCGAAGCCCGGTGTAGTGTTAGGGAAGAGATCATATAGAGATTAGTGAAAGTTAGAGAAGCTCTTGGCAACCTGCGACATCGGTGGGGCCACCACAACATCCGACATTTTCCCGAAGGATGAGTAAATATCGAGGAGCTTCATCAAAGAAAAAACATCAAAATATATACGGCGAAAGAAACAAAAAAACTGTTGTTTATGTTTGTGTTGTTCTCTGTAGTATTTCTTACCATTTTTATTCCCTAATCCACCATGTAAATCATCATTATTGTTGAGTTGGTATATACGCGCTCTCAAGCCGGTGTGAAATAATGAGGACAGTATTTCAGAGTCTGACCCCTTTTGGAGAGAGAGAGAGAGGTAAATCATTGACCAACAAGCTCTGCAATGAAAAAGTCAGGAGCCAGTGTAAATTGATTCCCTTTTCCGTTCAGACGGTTGTTTAACGAATGGCAGTGGTGCAATAAAAGCAGCCGGCGCATGAAGTTCCAAGGCTCGTGGCATACAATGGACTGAAACACCTTTGGGGTTCCTTGGAGTTGAAAACTCGCGCATACTGTGATACTGTGCTATCATCTATGACACAACGTTATGACAGTTTGAGCTGATGAGAGGGAAAAACAAAATATTCATAGACGGGAGGTGTTTGACTGCCGCCCGAAGGATAGGTTAGCAACCTCGAGGTCATCCATAAAGTTGGGAGCGCTTCATTGGAAAATAACTTGTCACATCTCGTGTGAATGAATACGCTTCGCTGGTTAGGGAACGCATTGCACATAACCAATGGTCGTCCATCGCACGCGCCGTGTTTGCAATTGCTGTTCCAGGTAAGATAAAACCAAACGAAGGCCAACCGATGACATGGAAACGATACAAGAAGAGATGTAGGAAAAGACTAGATAGATTGGATGTCTCCGGTCTTCCATGATAGGGTCCAAAAGACTCCACAGTTGGTTGGTTAAAGACACAGAGGGCCAACGGCAACCGAGCGCTACCTTCCTGTTGCCTTGCAGTTAGCACTTAGATGATCAAAGCCTAGAGATGACACTTCGACACAAAGCCATGTGACGCTGGGGACGTTTCCTGTACCTAAATACGACGAAATCTCACGGATATATTCACTTGACTTGTCTTGTTAATCATGCTAAGGCGTCCCCGCGACGCACTCTGTATTCCTCCAGTGGCGACGGTGACAAGTATGCTCACTGGACACCTTAAACTACGCAGAAACTCTTACATTGGATGCTGGAACATAAAAATACTCTTAGATGCCAGGAGTTAGGTGCCAACAATACGTGTTTTGCATGACTATCAGCTGGATATTATACATGTTTATCAGAAGTCAGATTAGTAGGCTTCGGCTCGAAAAGTACTAAAATCCCTGGTTTCGATAGTCAACACTGGCTGTCATAGCGGTAGTAAAATTTCAAATCAGCAGTGAGTGACACTTACTCCAAGCCATCGTATCAATAATTCTTTACTTTCCTGGGAACCGGTATACTCTAGGATTTCAGTAGCATGATTCAAGAACCATCCAGTAAGCCTTACAGTTATCGCTGTATACCTATCTGACAACAAAGTTGAGGATAAATTCAATGGCAGGCTTCAATCGCTTGGTAATAAAGCATCCCCACGGGATGTACTTGCGATAGCACGGGATTGAAACTCTCGAACTGACCCTCAAGAAGAGGCCATAAAGCACATCCTAACGAGATTTGGCCTGGACCGGCGTTGCGAGAATGGTGACAGACTATACATCTTCGCCGATCATAATCGACTGTTTATTTCCAACACGCGATTTCCATATCCAAAAAAGCATCTTAGGACGTGGTACTCCAACAACGGACGAAACAGCACACCAACTAGATTAAATTCTCATCCGTTCACGATGAGCTTCTTCGATTCAAGACCATCGAACCTATCATGGAGCTGAATGGGGCAACAAAAGCGGATATGATCACGCGCTAATTCGCGCGAAAGTTAGAATCCACCTAACAATTCGCAGAAATACCGTCCCCTCAAAATACTTCCATGTGCTTCCACCAGAGAACAGCGAGAAATGCCAGGCACTGATGAGCATGATAACTGCACAACTGTCAAACGATCCCCTCGGTGTGCAAGAAAGCACGGAGAGTTCGGCTGAAACTCAGTGCACCAGACTGAATTCGTCCATACAGAAAGCTGTTCTACGCGAACTAGGCACTGAGTCACGTCGTCTGAAGGACTGAATATCCGACGACGGGATACCCGCGGAAATCTCCAGCCATTTAAAACCCTCCCCATAGCCTACTATGTGCAACCTGGGAAACTGAAATTTGCTCAAGTGACTGGACCAAATGGACTTTACTACTTTTCTCTAAAAAGGGTGGAAAATACACAGAAAGTTCACTTGATGCTGAACCGCTTTGCGGCGAGGCACGCGCAAACTCGTCCTAACCAGAAGGGACCCCGCCCCGATGTGGGCTGCGTCGACCAAATATTCATTTCACGTCCACTCTTGGAACATCACCACAAGTTCCAGCAACTCACAGCAGTCTGTTTTATTGATTTTCGTGCGGCATTCGATTCCGTAGATCGCGAATCCCTGTGGAACATAGTTCTGTCTGATGGCGTCCCAGTTAGACCTGTCAACCTCATGAGATCCTGTTACTCCAACACTAGTGCCTGAATCCGCATGTACAACGAGGAATCATGCGCGTTCGAGTTAGGGATTGGAGTGCAGCAGGAGTGCCCACTGTCTCCAATGCTGTTCAACTTCGCCGTGGACTGGATAATGGGTCGTTCGATGGAAGGATACCAGGGTGTTCAGATCTCTCCGAACTTATGGCTCACCGACTTAAAATTCACTGATGATACTCTTATTTTTGTGAGGATATGTCCAACTTCCAAATAGTCGTTGACTGCCTCCGAGATCAGCCTGGGGGTAAACAAATCAAAAACCAAAACATATATGAAAGTCCAAGCTCATCCCGAAGACGTTTCAACACTGAACAGCGAGCCGATGGAATCCGTCGAAAGCTTCAAATACCTGGGCTTAACCGTACTCCCCAGTGACCAAGCTAAAGACGAGGTACAAGTGCGCATCGATTCTATAAGAAAAACGTTTATACAGCTGAGGAATTCCCTATAGCGTAGAAATGAAATCAGTCTAAAGACAGCAGCTGCCTGTTCTGTCTTGGTATACGGTTGTGAAACCCGGCCACTTGGAGTCCAAGATTGTCGGCGATTAGAAGTCTTCGATCACTGCNTGCTGCCTAAGAATCATTCTGGGAATTCGATGGAGGGATAAGCTCTCAAATGAAGCGCTCAGAAACCGGTGTTTTAATCTTAAATGGCTACGAACTCTAATGCAACGGCGGTGAATACAATGATTTGGTCACATCCTTCGTAAGTCTGATAACGACCTGACCAAATCTGCTTTGGCACCGCCGCCCTGCCTGAACTGTCGACACGGTGATCAGCTGAAAACCTGGCCAAATACGGTACACAAGGATTCAGAAAACCTTGGTCTCTGTTCCGTCTACGGTAATCGCCAATGGAAGTCAAGCTGGATTAAAATCTGCGCTGATCTCGCCGAAGACCGCCGAGCGTGGGTAGCGGCAATTCGGTATATCCATGAAGCCGTCTTATCCTCTCCCAACAGCCAGCAGCCATAAAGTCTGTACTTTTGATTTTGCCATTTTTTCTTATTGATGTTTTCTTAAGAATTGATTTGTGAACTCTTACGATTCATCACTGGGATGCATAAAACCTAACATAAACGAGATAGCTCCAGTAACACATCCCGACGATACATCAAGGCACGGTTAACGTACACTAAATTTCAGTAACAAGTAAATAACGCGTTTTAAGAAAACATTTCCCACACATCGACAGAAGTGACAACAACCATACATGATAAGCCACAATCAAGTGTACGCCTACCTTTTCCGCCAAGCGTTTTTTTGCTGTGGTCAGTTCCTCTCGCAATTCATCTGCGGCTACTGTATAGCGCCGCTCAAGCGCCTCGGTCAGTTTCCCCTCTCGTGCCTCAACACGTCGGAGCGCATCACCGGTGGTCAACTCCACCAACTGCGCAGACAGAGACTCATTTGTGGAACGAAGGTTAAGGATCTCGTTGTTTAGCTAACATGCAGCGAATTGAACGGAGAAACGGAGTAAAGGGTCAGTACTCAGGAGATGGACAGTCACAATCGATTAAACAGTGTTCGCATAGTAACACGAGAAAATATGACTATGATTCAGGAATGCAATCAGTGAAAGTGATGGATTACCTGATCCTTTGAAGTCTCACATTCGTTCAGGCGCAGACGAAGCTTGCTCATTTGATTGGCATGGTCCTGCAGATCATTCCTTAGTGTTTGGACCAACTGTTCGGATGCCGTAAGTTTGGCACAAAGTGTTTCGCGCTCTCCTATGGGTGGTTGACGAGGAGTAAGCCACGAGACAAAAATAAATGAACAAGTAGGGTCAAACAGCGACTGCCGAAAACAACATGGATTAATCATAAACGAAACTTGAAAAAGATGGGAAAATGATTCTCTGTAACAGTGAAAGGAACTTCGCAAAAGTGAGCATCTAAAAAGGGTGCAGTGAAATATCGTGGAGTATGTTTTCGTGAAAATAAAAGATTTCAGTAGAACACTGCAAAAATGTGTAGGGCGAACTGTGTGTTGCCAGAGGTTCAAACAGGATTTGAAACAAACTCAAGAAAATGAGCGAAATATACTTGAAAACAAGAAGAAAACTCAATTTTGGAGTGTCGGTTATTCTCTTTTTTTAGTTACGTCAAATGTTAATCTGTATTGATAGTAGATTTTAATCTGAACTAAACAAACCATAACACAATGAGATATTCTGAAACTGGTCTCACTGACCGCAGCTACTATCGCAGTGCACAAAAACAGATATGACAATAAGAAATGGATAGGAATTTCACAATCCACGCAAACAGTAATCTTTCACATTCATGAGCGGATTTTGGTTTTGTCTGTTGACAATCCAATCGATCGAACAAAAGACAAGGGGAGAATAAAAGCAGCCGAATCAGGCCTCAAAGTGGAGACAGAGAATCAAGCGACCCAAATGTGTGTACAAAGTGAGTAGAGGAACAATTTACATTGTTAATGACATTCAACCACATTACCCAATATGGCTAGCCTAGTGAAGGGTTTCCGTTGTAAATTCCTAGGGAATATATATATAT